AGTTGTTTTACTTGATTTCTTAGCAAAATGCAATAAACAAATGTTTTCAACACTTGGTTTTTATTTTGGAGAACTTACGTTTTTGACATCGGCTAACGGCATGACTAAACCAACCATGGGTCTGGCTAAACCAGCCCAACAGCGATGTTGGTGCAACCAACAGCGCTGTCTGGCTTGGGTAGCTGAAAACCATGGTTTGGCGTTAAGTCTTCCAACAGCGATGTTGCATATTAGACATCGCTGTTGAGCCAAGGTTGGGTTTCCAGAAACATCTGGAACAGCGATGTAGCCTTCCCTACAGCGCTGTCCAACCTAAGCCAAAACTATAGTGCATTGGGAGAAAGTTTTTGGATAGCGATGTTGACCCAGCAACAGCGCTGTGAGGCCAAAACTCCACCTTCAAAGTCAGACCTAAACAGCGATGTTCAAGTATTGAACATCGATGTAGGGACCTGACCGTTTGAAGGGATTTAAGGGTAAAACTTTCCTTGTTTGGAAGTCAACAGCCAAAACAGCGATGTAGGAGTATTGGACATCGCTGTTGGCATGACCGTTGCTTTCCAATTTTCAAAACGCAAGCCTAGAACAGCGATGTCCAAGCCTAGGACAGCGCTGTCTGGGTGAATTTCAGCAGATCCAAATTTAATCAAATCCCACAAATTGTGTCAATCACCCCTTAAATGTTTTGATCCGTTGGAGCCTATTTTTCTACTATAAAATGGGGTGTTTGGGTCTGTTTTATACATCACATTACTTCACAACTCCTATTCGTTCATTGCATATTATTCATACATTATTCATAGCTTTTCGAGAGCCATTTTTGTAAAGTTCGTGTTGTGATCTTGAGCGTATTACTTTACTCATATTCACTCTTTTGAGAGAGCCTTGTTCTTGAGTGTTCTTAGTTTTATAGACATTAAAGGAAGTTTGTTTCCCTTGGTTGTGCGAAGGAAAGGTACTTTTCTTCGGGTTGAAGTCTTGGAGTGCGGTATCTCCGAGCAAGTGTTGTTGAGGCTCGTGGGACTCGAGTTCTCAGGTTGTAATGGTTTGTTAAGCACGCGTAAGCTTAACGGAAGTAGTGTAGCTCGAGAGAGTCTCTCGGGAGGCTGGATTAGCCACAAGTTGTGGTGAACCAGGGTAAATTTGGTGTGTTCTTCCCTTACGCTTTTTTATTCCGCTCTTTACTTTATCCCTGCGATTTTTATTCCGCAAAAAATTTATAAACATTCTCGTGCCTCACTATTCACCCCCCCCCCCCCCTCTAGTGAAGGGCACTTATTCTAACATGAACTCCTCTTCGGTTTTGGGGACGTTGACCTCACCGACTTTCTTCATCGGAACTCCGCAGCCGTTCTTCACAATCAACCATAACTTGTAGTCGTTGGATTGGATAAAGATTCTCATCCTCTCTTTCCAGTACGAGTAGTTTGTTCCATCGAACAAAGGTGGCCTCGTGGTTGATTGTCCCTCGGTTACTCGTGCGTTGAACATTCTTGATGCCATTTGATCTTTTAGTTCCTGAAAAAATAATGTATTCGAAGAACTTCCTGCTCCGATACCAATTGTTAGACAAATGTGCAACTCTAGAGGGGGGGGGTGAATAGAGTTGTTTTCAAGAATGTGCGTTTTTCGCGTGTGTGAAATAATAAAATCGCAGGAATAAATAAAGAGAGTAAGAGAAAGAAGAACACCGAGATTTATACTGGTTCACCACCTCGTGGCTAGTCCAGTCCTCTGAGAGACTCTCTCGAAAGTCCTACTAATCTTCAAGCTTCAACGGGTGCTTGAAAAACCGGTACAACTTGAGAACTTGAATCACACAAGCCTCACTTTCTTACAACACCAAGACTTGAGTCACACAAGTCTTAAGAACAACACTCAAACAAGATGAGTTTACAACACAAGAATGAAAGCTCACACAATTGAGCAAGTAGTGTTTGAAAGATTAAAGCTCTACGGATGACAATATCTTTAGCACTCAACGAAAAATATTTCTAACTCTCAAAAATAATATTTGATGAGGAAGATGGAAGCAAGAATTGAATATTACTCAAAGGAGATAATGGAGTGCAAGAGTTGTATTCTAAAATGAAGGAGAATGATGGATTAAATAGGCAGAAGATAAAAGTACCGTTTGAGCCACTGAAAGGTACTGAGAATAGGCACCAGACAGAATTAATCGATTAAAGTGTACAGAAGCGAAAAGGCTTGTAGGTAAGAGTGGAACTAATCGATTAAAAGAATATAATAAATCGATTAGTCGGCTCTGTCTTAACTAATCGATTAAACGAAGAGGAAAAATCGATTAGTATTCCAAACAAGGTATTTAAACGTTAAGCCATTAATCAATTAATTTTAGACGATTAATCGATTAGCAAGAAAATAATGCGCAAACACAAAGGAAATTTTTCTCACAAAAAAATATTTGTGTACCCCTAAAAAATATTTTAAGAAAATTTGACACACTATTTTGAAACTGACTCGGTAAAATGTTTTTAGACAAAGAAAAAATGATTTTTCAACTGACTCAGAAAATAATAATTTTTATCCCTCAAAATTAATTTTGTTTATGCAAAAAGTCATTGTCATCCTTACAAAAATTCCTAGACTCAATAAAAATAAAATGTCTTCGAATCTTCACTTCTCTTCAAAAAAAACTGCGTAGGGGTGAGCGTTGATTTCATCACCGTAAATTTCTTGATACACCTCTTTGCTTTTCTTGATACGAAAAATAAATTTTCGATCATCGTTGTGTTTAATCATCCTGTTTGTCATTTATCAAAACAAAAAAATATTCCAGAAAATATAAAAGGGGTTTGAACTCATGTCCAACATAATCCACTCAATATTAGTAAACAACGTTAGATGTTCATATTAGCATTTTGAAAAGACTCTCTAGCGGCAACATTTAGTGTTATCATTTTCAAATTTGACATACACCATTATATTTAGGTGTAAAATTAATTATATTTGACTCTATTAAATTTAATTTTATCTAATTTCAACAAAATACACTCAAATAATTTATAAATTTTGCACTCAATTGACTAAAATTCACTTAATTTTACGCAATTTCACTCAATTTGTACCAAATTATATTCATTTGGAACGTAATACTATTTGAATTTATCTTTTATCTTTTCATTTATAAACATAAATATATTAGTAGATGTGAGAAAACTTTGATATATCAAAACTAAATTTTAAAATCAGTTCAATTATATTAAATTTATATCATAATTAAATATATATTTTTTTCATAATTTGTAGTCCAAATTTGTAAAATATGATTAAAAAGTCAAAAAGGGAATATTATTTAGGATAGAGATAATATAATTAGAAAAAAATATAAAATAATATGAGGTATTGAGTTGATGATAGATTGATAAATGTGATAAAACATAAAAAGAAACATGGGTCATTAAATTTTAATTAGAAAATAATATATATCCAAATTATATTTGATCCGAAACTGAAATATATCCGAACGGAACAAGATCCGAAACCAAAATATATCTGATTCAAATTATATTCGAACTATCCGAACCGATTTATAACCGAACCGTATCAGAACTGACTAAAAACTGAAGCGAACCGAAAAATGTATAGAACCGAATCAAATCCGAACCCAAATTAAACCGATCCGAACCGATTATAACATATATCGGAACCAACAAAATCCAACCCGAAACCGATCCGGTTGACCCGATTGCCACCTCTAGATTTGAATGGGTAGATTAATATGGAATAACTGTGATTTAATGACTAAAAGTAAGATTTGATGGGTAGATTAATAGAGAATAGATGTGATTTGAGAGGTGAGTTAAGCATTAGTAGGGGTAAAAGTGACCTTTTAATAAAAATAAAAAACGTTTTTTGAGAGAGGTGAAAAAAGAAAGAAGAAATGTATACAAGGACGGATGGAGTATTACTTTTTTTAAAAGTTAAATATGGAAATGAATATACAAACCACTGTAGCACTATTGAATGTAAAAAAGGAAAATTTACCTAAATAGAACTAATACATAATGATTTCTCAATGTAAGACCATATGTTTTTATTTTCCAATGTAGGACCATTGGTCAATATCCATTAGTCATTATTCAAGTAAACTAGTATCAGACCCGTGCATTGCACGAGTCATTTTTATGTTATTAAATTCAAATCATTTTTCTATGATAAAAAACGAGATGCAATAGAATATAGAGATTGTATTATTTTAAGGTACAAAACATCACTGTTTTACAAATTTCGAAAAACTTCTTTATAGACTACATTATTTGTTCAATTTGTGGGAATATTGTCTTCATAGCATATGAGAATCTTCAACCCACTACGATTAGTTACTCTTGAAACTGTAACATACAGTTGTCCATTACTAAAACATGTTGAATTATTGTTACGAAAACCTGTGATAAACCTAATTGCTCGTAGCTTCATCATTAACATTGATGACCTATCATCAACATTTTTCAAAGCAGTTAAGATCCCCATTTTTCGTAGGAATGGCAGTTTAGAAACGTAAGGGAAAAAAATTCACGATGAATGTAATGGCTATGAAAGCTTTGTAAATGGATGTATTTATAATATGATTTTTGCATACGAGGTTAAAAAAATTATTCATTTTTCAAAGTGCTTTAACGAATTTAAATTACTATTACTATATTTAAATTATTTAATTTATTATATTTAAAATTAGTATAATTAAAATTACTATAATTAAAATGACACAATAATTAATACGGAGTATACAATTATGTAGTCACACGGTTATATTAAATAATACCTTGGTTAATTATTACCTTTTTTATTAAAATTACTATAATTAAAATATAGTAAAATATAGCCATTATAAAATATAGCCACTATAATTAAAATATAGCCATTATAAAATTACTATAATTAAAATTACTATAATTAATTTGACACGGTAATTAATATACAATTATGTAGTCACACGTAATATTAGATTTCATTACTAGCGTAATATATAATTTTAATTAAAATTACTATAATTAAAATTACTATAATTAATTTGACACGGTAATTTACATTTAATTGCTATAATTGATTTGACACGGTAATCACACGTAATATACAATTTTAATTAAAATTACTATAATTAATTTGACACGGTAACTAATTAAAAGGATTAAATTTTTAAACGATTTTTTTCCTGAAACTTTGTGCATAATTTTTCTTACCATAATTATATTATACTATTGTCATACACACGGTATGATCACACACGGAATAAAAATTTACTAGTTCCAAATTTATAACTTACCTAGTCACACGGTTATACAATCAATACATTAAAAATGACAGTTAATTATTATAAAAATATTAATTATTTTAACTTCACAACTACCATTTTATATTATTATAATTTCGGACACTTACCATTTAATTTCCCAATTGTTATATGTAATGGCCATACTTCGTGCACGGGTTAAAAACTGGACACTATAATTTTGGACACTTATCATTTATATAGGTAATAATTGCACGGAGTAATAATTATTACATTTTTGGTTATTACCTTTCTTGCTATTAAATATAAGTAAATATATTTAAAGGGTTTTACCATATAAATTTTTTTCTTTTGAAACTATGTGTATAGTTATTTTTACCATAATTATATTATACTATAATCACACACGATTTTTATATAACCTAGGCACATGGTAATCATATAATTATATAATTATGGTAAGAATAATCATACACACGTTTTTAATAGCATTGATTGTCTTGTATTCAAGTTTATAAATATTTTTTATAAATAATTTTTGCCTATTTTATAAATATTTTTATAACTTACCTTTATTGCTAATATAAATTTCGGACACTTTAAAAATGACAGTTAATTATTATAAATATAATATAATAATTATACTTATAAAACATAAATTTTATATTACTATAATTTCGGACACTTACCATTTTAACTTCACATTACCATATGTAATGGTCATACTCTTTGGGAGGAAAAACGCAATATTGACTTCATATCTTTTTAAATAAAGTATAGATGTCCACCATCACTGGACATTAATCCCTCTCACTAGACATTATTAAGTACTATTTAAGAAATAAAAAAGTTTAAGTCCTACATTGGAAAATGACATGTTTTAGTCCTATTTAGCGTAAATTTCTCAAAACAAAAGATAGATTGAATGTAGAAAATATTTATATGGTGAAAAAGGTGGAGAAGATGAAAAGTTCAATGATGTTTGACAGAGGAAGAAGAAGAAAAGGCGAGGAAGAAGTAACATGGCAGAGCAGGGAAAAAAAACATAATACACTACTTCAAATATTTCGCTCTTTAATTTCTCGAATTACACCAGTGTAAAAAGCACTGATTGAGAAAGCTCCCCATTGTTAACAGAAGACACATATAGTAGGTAGCACATGCCAAAAGTCCCTAAATGACTAGTCTACTATGATTTCAATTCACACTTACATTAGGAGCAGCCAAGCATATATATAAG